TGCTTATGTGGTGCTGAGGACTCGGACCCAGGGCCTCATGCATGCAAGGCAAGCACTCTACCACTGAGCCACCTTCCCAGCCCCTTTTAGTCTCTTTGTGGAGCTAGGATAGATTGTTTCAGAAGCCTTCTACAACTCTGTATTGGAAGCTGCATGGCCCTTAGCCTTCATCTTAGCGTCATCTACCTCTCCATTTTTTCATTGCTCAAAGACTTGAGTCACTTGCATTCCTCAGTCACTTGCCTGATCCCACTAGGTCCTTCTGCTCTTGCTCATTTTATCTGGGCCTGAACACACAATCTGGCTTTCTCCTCTTAACTCTGTCCAGCCCAATTGCTGCTTGCACTTTCACTCTGCTTTCTGCCTTCCACCTTCTGGTTTCAATTGGTGACCAGTGCCTATGTTGTTGCACTTGATCCTTCCACAGCATTTGTTTTATTTCACTACACATTAGAGTTTGGGGGTTTTCAGTTGAAGTCCTACCTCAGGGCAGGGAGAATTCTAGCTGTTCTGTTTTGTCACTATGTGTTTTGGCCACTGTTGAGATGCTCAGTGAATGCAAAGTGAAGAAGGGCCACTGTGGAGAAAGAAGCTGAGGGAGAAATGGGTAGATAGATGACCCTTTAGAGGGAATGGCTGTTCCTTCACTGACCAAGGGAGGGGGGAAGTTTCCTGTCCTGTCTGTGGAGAGATAGAGGATTCATTTTATTTTTATTTTATTACTTTATTGTTGTTACCTGTACATACATCAGATAATAAGTACACTTCCTTCCTTTTGCATAGTATCATCTGTTCCCTTATTCTCTTCCATTCCCTCCCTCCCATCTCCATCCACAGGTTGGGGGGTTCACTTTTCATCATTGTCCAGTGTAGCCAGTGAGCTCCGCTGCTGCACTTTTTCACCTGTGTTCTACTGATTCTGTACCCTCCCCCCAGCTTCCCTCAGATGTGCAGTCATCAGAAAATGAATACAGTCTTCAGAAAATGAATAAACATTAAGAAAAAGGTCCTTTGTTTCCATATTTTTGGACTTCGTTTCAGTACGTATCTTATTTTATATACATATGAAGAGGTGCTTGGGTATTAAAACTTCTCCTACGTCTAAGAGGATTCATTTTATTGATGTGAATTAATATGCAAGATAAAATAGTTTTGCCTGTAAGGGATCAGATTCAGATCAGAGTTAACTCTTGAAGTGAAATGAGGTATATACCCTTCCCTGTTGGCCATTAACCAAATTTTTGTAATACACATAGACTGGTGACATTACCTTCAGTCCTGTCATATAAGAGCTCACATGTTCACGCACTGTATGAACAAGTGGTAACCTTCAGCTCTGAACTGCAGGGGACTCTCTTGGCAGAAAGGACCTCCAAGAGTCAAAATAGACAAGAATGCTTACATTCTACAAAGTAGACAAGAATATTTTCATTTCTCTGTGTGCCAAGTGAGAAACAAAAAGGAAGATACATTCTGTTGTGTGAGGAGACATAAAGGCTTCAGGAGAAGAGAATTTATTTATTTATTTTTTGGTCCGGTCGTGGGGCCTGAACTCTGGGCCTGGGCACTGTCCCTCAGCTCTTCAGCTCAAGGCTAGCGCTCTACCACTTGAGCCATAGCGCTACTTCCAGCTTTTTTCTTTTTGCTTATGTGGTGCTGGGGAATCGAACCCAGGGCTTCAGGCATGCAAGGCAAGTGCTCTACCACTGAGCCACCTTCCTAGCCCCAGGAGAAGAGAATTTATGGCTGCTAAGCTAATGATACTGAGTCCCTGTGGTTTGGTAGAGATGTCACCTTTAATACAATTTGAACACTTGCTGTACCATTAATCTCAAGAAAAGGACTTATAATAGAATAAGCTACTGATTAAAACTTC